TTTGGTGTGATGCCAGGGTGGTTATTCACCACAGCAGAGTGTGCACCCCTGTGTGTGTGTGTGTGTGTGTGTGTGTATGTGTGTGTGCCAGTGCTGGGTGCCTGCCACAGGAAAGGGAGAGGTTGTGTTTAATTATTCTGTCAGTGCCGTTCAGAGCTGTTCTGCTCTCTGATATTCACAACTCAGGCAGCAGGGACACAGGATTCCTTGGAGAGAGCCTGCAGGCAGAGCTGTTCTCCCAGGCAGCCTGTGCTTGGATCACCATTTCATATTGCCCTTGCTTTCAGAGCACCTCGAGCCAGGCCCAGCTGCTCCGGCACCTCCTTTGCTGTTGATTAACCATCAGCCAGAATTGGCTACAACTGTGGTTCTATTCTGAATATTATTTCCTGTTGTCTTGCTTTGTAAAGCCAGGTGTCTGCTAAGGAAGGCAGGAGCCTCCCCTGAAATGAAAATGTAAACCCCCTCCTTCTGAATTGTTATAATTTTAAAATGAAAGGGCTCTCAGGCAAAGATTTGGGAGTAGAAATGACAGTTATTTATTAGGGAAGAAAATAAAAATTAAATTTTAGGATGCAGTAATACAAAACCACTGCCAGAGTCAGAGCAGTCCCTGCCCCCTGTGTGTCAGGGCGGTGTCCCAGCCCCATCCCATGGGGGCTCAGCCCTCCTGCAGTGCCAGCTGTGGCTCTGCTGCAGCAGGGATCCTGCACAAGGGGGGAGTTTTCCTCTGCAGCTCCAGGGCTGCTGCAGATGGGCCTGGGCTCCCTCGGGCAATGCAGGGCAGCAGAAAGCTGCTCCTCTGGCAATGCAGGGGGCAAAGGCTGCTGTGCTGTGCCAGGCCCAGATTGGATCCAGGTAGGAATGCTTGGCTCCTCCCCTGGGCGGAGCATCTCCCCATGGGATGCTGGGATTGGATCAGCCCTGCAGGGACACTCAGTGGCCATGGACAGCAGAGATCTCCTGGAGGGAGGGTTGGCTGTGGCAGAGAGAAAGAAAAAACTGCCCCAGGAACAGGAGAGAACTGCCCCAGCTCTGACAGATGGACATAGAGCACACACCCCCAGCCACACCTTGTAACCCAGGACACCTGTGCAGACAAGTACTTTTAGCCTGGTGAAAAAAAGGCTAAAGAAGGTAAAAAGAGGCTCCTGGGACCCTCTACAACTCCCTGCCAGGAGGGCACAGCCGGGGGGGTCGGGCTCTGCTCCCAGGGAACAGGGACAGGAGCAGAGGGAGCGGCCTCAGGCTGGGCCAGGGCAGGCTCAGCTGGGACAGCAGCAGCAATTTGCCCATGGAAAGGGAGCTCAGGCCTTGGCAGGGGCTGCCCAGGGAGCTTTGCAGTGCCCATCCCTGCAGGTGTGCCCTGGAGGTGGCACTGAGTGCTCTGGGCTGGGGACAAGGTGGGCACGTGGCACAGCTTGGCCTCAATGACCTTGCAGGTCTTTTCCAGCCTCAGTGACCCTGTTCATTGTCATTTGGGCCCTGTTCATTCCCGGCACAGAGCAGCTCAGGCCATGGTTCTGTTGGCTGCAGCCCCCTCTGCTCCCCGTGTGTGTCACACTGCCACAGCTTGGCCTGGAGCCCTTTTGTGTCAGCCTCACTCACTGCCCGGCCATGCTGCACTGCAGTCCTTTAGTGCAGGGTCCAGGATACTTCAGAAGGAGCCTGCTGGGGTTTGTAGGTGAGCACAGCACACCAGGTTACTGAAAATGCACCTAAGGTGAGAAAATGCATGAGAGAGGTTTGTAATCAGCTGTCACAGACATCTTTTATGAAAAATCCTTTCCTTAGGATTTTTCCTCCTCAGAAGTTGAGAGGCCTCAGGAACAAAATGTAAACAATGATTATCTGCTGCTGTGGAATGCAACAGGTGCATCTGTGATTGGCCCATGTTGGTTGTTTCTAATTAATTGCCAATCACAGCCCAGCCGGCTTGGAGAGAGAGTCCGAGACAGCTGGCTTTGTTATCATTCCTTCCTATTCTATTCTTAGCCTAGCCTTCTGATGAAATCCTTTCTTCTATTCTTTTAGTATAGCTTTAATGTAATATATGTAATAAAATAATAAATCAAGCCTTCTGAAACAGGGAGTCAGATCCTCATCTCTTCCCTCAACCTGAGACCCCTGTGAACATGGTCACAATCAGCCCCTGTATAAAGGGGATATTCAGCCTCAGTAAGTTGGCAATATGTGTCCATTAAAAGTTTGATCCTCTTGATACATCTACAGAAAAAATAGAACAATGCAATCACATCTGGTGAGCTCTAGATGTGTAAATCATTCCCCACCCTTTGATTTGTTTACATAACTCCCCAAATGTGTGCTCAGAAAGGCAACAGGTCCCAGAGCTTATCTGGTTCCTCCTGCGTGGGGTAGCACTGGCACACCCAGCTCTGGCTGGTTTTGTACAAGAACTTGTTCCTATCTTGATATTTTAATCTGTCCTGAGCATCAGAGGGGAATTCACATCTCCTGCCTCAAGTACTGCTGCTTCTCACTAGTGCCATCCTTCTGTGTGACACTTTGGATATGACAGAGGAGGGAAACCTGTCCCAAATCTGTGCTGCTAAAGCTGGACTAGTAAATGCTAGTCTGGACTCAGGATGGCAGGAAGAAAATGTGCTCTATGGCTACAGATTTATCCTTCTATAGGATCACAGAATGGTTTGGGCTGGAAGGGATCACCTCATTCCATCCCTGTCATGTGCAGGGACATCTCCTGTCTCAGTTATTGGTATTTCTCACTCATGCCATCCTTCTGTGACACTTTGGATGTGACACAGGAGGGAAACCAGTCCCAAAAAGCTGTGCTGCTAAAGCTGGATTAGTAAATTAGTCAATTAGTCCTGACTCGGGATGGCAGGAAATATAAGAAAACCTGCTCGGTGGCTACAAATTTATCCTTTTATAAAATCACAGAATGGTTTGGGTTGGAAGGGATCAACTCATCAAACCTGTCATGTGCAGGGACACCTTCCACTCTCCCAGGCTGCTCAGAGGGTTATCCAGGATAACCAGAATATCCAGGATATTCTTCCAGGACAACCCTAAATCAGGAAGGCTGTGAAGCAAGTGTTTAACTTTCAGTTTGTGTTGTAATAACCTTGTTTCAGTTTCCTGGAAGGAGATGTCTTGCTAAACCAGGTTTTCGTGCCAGTTTTGGCTCTTTCCTTAGAGTGCTGCTAATTCAGGGGATGCAGGGCAAACCCTGTAGCCACCAGCAGAGCCTGTCACAGACCATCAGGCACAGACATGACCAGCATGAAATTTGGGCTGGGGGTGGAGGAGGGTCTGGCAATAGTTACCATCTGCTTAAGCAAGTTAGTACCAAATGTCTGGGAGCTTCCAATTCCAGCCTGTAAAGGTGGAGCTGAAAAAATGAAAATTGTGTTTCTGTTTGGAACAAGCAAGGAAAGCTGTCACAGCTTTTTTTTTTTTTCCTAGCATGATTTCCAGAGGTGAAAAGATAAAAATTGTTTGTTTTGCAGACAAGGACTTGTCCCACTTTAAAGTAGCAAGGCTGGATTATCCAGGTGACAAAGAAGAATACACTGCCAAAGGTTGAGTTTAAAGCAGAATTCTCAATTTGAAGTTCGTAAGGGAAAAGTCAAATGTCCAGAACAGTTGCATACTCATTTTTCCAACTCATATTGGACAACATTTTCTTGTCTTTGATTCCCGTTCCTTGTGGTGCAGAATTGCCAACTGGTTTGCAAATGTTCTCTGTCATCTTCTCTTCCATAAAGGATCCATCTTTTTGGGGAAAAGATGTGAAATTAGTGGCTGGAATAGCTCAAACAACTTCTCTGTAACCCTGAGAGCTTCAAGACTGAGCTGTGAGAGGAAGATCTGGCTTGAGGGACACAGGGCATTTTTGGGGATGGAGCTCAAGATGTATTTTCTAAGCTTAGATGCTGTTGGAATTTGAGCAAAGGCTTTAGAGGGACTAAAATAAATCTGGATGTGGCACAAATTCCCTTTCCTGGGTGGGCTTCTGTAACTGGGGGCGAGGTGCAGTGCTGGGAGTATGAAAACACTGAGAACATGATCTAACACTGGATTCAAAACACTTTTCTGTCCACTTTATGTGAAACTTCGCAGTTTCCAGATCCTTGTGTGATGCTTCAAAAGCTTAAAATATGAATCCCATAAATCCAAATCCAGTGAGGATGTGGCAGGCATGGATTTACTGGGGAAAGGAGGGAGGGAGGGAATTAAAAGCACATCAGTGCTGTTGGTGTTTCTGTCTGACTTCAATCTGAACGAAGTTGCTGGTGAAATTTTGCTTTTACTGAAAAAGCTTCTCTTGCTTTTGAAGTTCTGTGGAAAGAAAAATCTTTTAAAACCATGATGTCATTGTGTCATTTGATCACCCACAGATAGCTGGGAAAAGTGGACAAAATGGGAATTTGGCTTGTTTAGGCATTTCTTTAATAGGCCTTCAAATGAATTACTTTATTTTTGTGGATTTGAAGGGGGAAAGTTGGCTGCTTTAAGTAGTAAGGGGGAGATGTGCAAAGATCTAAATGGTGATGCCTTTAATTGCTCTTTTTAGTGCAGTTTGTGCAAATTAGGCTTGAATAGTTCATAGATGGCCCCCTCACTTCACTGTCTCTGGGGCAAGCTGAGGCAGCTCAGTGTTAGCCAGGCAATATTTATCTAAATCAATAGGTAAAAATGCAATTTGATTTTCAAGTTAGTGTAAATGTGAGAGCAGATGATGAAATTTCAAAAAAAAAAAAAATCTGAGGAAAATTACTGTTTTCCTCATAGTGCCTTGCTGCTTTAAAAGTTGAGTTCAAGATCATGGGCAGAAGGAAACCTCTTGTTTGAAAAATGGGAATTTCCAGTCTTTTAAAGGAGAACAGAGAAAAAGACAAGATTACTTTAAATCATGTCCATATTCCCACATTTTTCCACATTTTCTAATTTTTTTATTTATTTATCCCATTTTATCAGCAGTTATTTGGTGTTCAAGTTACTGAGTAGTACTCCACATTATTTACATTTAAAGCTGTTGTTATTTTAAAGGGCTTTAATGGTTTTCCACCCCCTACACATGCAGACAAATGCACCCCACCTGCCCCAGCCCCTCTGCACTCCATTACTGGACATGGATAAGGGATTCCAGAACATCCCTGCTCTGAAGTGCTCTTAATTGAGGGTCTGGACCAGATTTTCAGCTCTTGTAAACAGGCACAGCTTCAGTGAAATGCTGCTTTTATCCTATCAGCTGCAGATCTGTCCCAGTCCTGCTGGGTGTTTCTAAATTGGGAAAAATGGCTTGTGGAAATCTCTGATATCTTGGGTGAATAATGGGGCTGGGCAGGGCAGAGCATGTCCCAGGTTCTTATTTTGGGAAAACTGTACATTGCAAATAAAAATAATTTTTTTCCATGAAAATTTCAGGGCTGAGTGTTTTCTCCTGCATGGAATAAATCCTCAGCAGACCCTATGGAGGCAGAATTGTCTTAGAGCTTCAGCTGTGCTGAGCCTTGAGGAGGTCTGGGGAAGGAAAGATGCTTATCAGTCTATAAAAAGAGATTTCTATTGAAAATAAACATTTAAAGTATAATGATGCCTTTTGTTTCTCTGGTTATGCAGCTGCCTTGGGATCTGAGCTCCTGGTAAACACGTTGGCCTGGTAAAGGACATGATTCAGACTGTCCCCGATCCAGCAGCTCACATCAAGGTTAGTTTCCTGTTTATTGTGAGTCCTCAGATGTTTGGAGAGCCATAAAATCCGAGAATATGTACACATACCACAGCTTTTCTTGCATGTTTACAAATTGTGCTACTGCCCAACATGGGCTTTTTTATTCCTCAATATTTACGTGCTGTTGTGTGAGTCAGCCCTGCAGTCTTTGTTGCTGACACCTGTGTGATCTGCTCTGAAGCACGTGGATATTTTCAAGATAACTTTTTCTAAAATTAACCCTCCTTGATCATCCTTTAATGTGTGGTGTGTTTGATAAAATATACCTCCTTGAGAAACACTGGATTTCTGTGTCCCTGATTCTGCTCCACGACATCCAGTGGCAAAAATTAAATTCAATTGCAGAAGGAAAATAAACATAATGCAAAAATTCAGATCCAAACAAGCATCTCTTACATAAATTCATTGCAATGTTTAAAACACCTTAAAACCAGCATTGGTTTGCTGTGTTTCAGGAGGAAGTGTTTGTTTTTACTGTATTATGACTATTATTATTAATATCATTACTGTGGTTTTCTTATACTTCTTTATGGAAACTATGGGACATGGCAGATGCAGCTGTTGCAGAGAACAAGTGATTTTGGGGTGTTGCACACAAATTTCATCAGGAACTGGAGTGATAGGGCAAATAGTAATTAATTCAGACTGAAAGAAAGAAAGTTTAGATTGGATCTAAGGGATAAATTCCTCCCTGTGAGGATGGGCAGGGGCTGGGATGGAATTCCCAGAGCAGCTGTGGAGCCCCTGGATCCCTGGCAGTGCCCAAGGCCAGGTTGGACACTGGGCTGGGAACAGTCTGGGACAGTGGGAGGTGTCCCTGCCATGGCAGGGGTGGCACTGGATGATCTTTAAGGACTCTTTCATTCTTTCTGACTGCCTTTCTGTTTTTTTGGGGGTTTTTTAAAGTTATATTTTCTGCAACTTCTTTCATGGAGTTTCTCCTCAGCTGGCTGCCATCTACCAGTCAGCGGCTCTCTCTAGAAAAAGCTCCACTGTACAACTTATTTTTAACTGAAGCATAGAATAAAAATGAAATATTATTTTAAACAACTCCCTTTTTCTGTAAAACTCAGTGAATGAAAGAATCTCTCTCTCTGTATCCCTCTGTGTTGTTTTTGGGTCGTGTTTAGTTACTAGGATGAGTTGCAGTAGTGGGAGAGCTCGTTCTTTCCTCCCCTCCAGGTTTTCCAGACCCAGCACTTCCACAGCCTTCTGGTCCTCAGTTGTTTTTATGGAAAGAGCAGAAAAATAAATCCTCCTCCCCTCAAGAAATTGAAGTTTTGCCTCAACAAGGGTTACAGCCAGTAAGACTTGAAAACATTGAAGGGGATTTAATCCCTCTTCATGCTGTTTAAATGCCCACAGCAGCAGAAATAACATAAAGAATAACTCAGTTCCATGCTTTCTGCCAAATCTGGTGCCCAAAGAAGGTTTTTGTAACCACAGGAGTTAGTGGGAGAGGGCAAGGCTGGCTATGAAAGTATCTCATTACAGCAAGAGAGCTGCATAAAAAATCCCTGTAATGGTGTGTTCAAGGGAATTGCAGGAGCCTGTTCTCAGCAGAGCATCACCCCAAAGTTGCTGTTTTATTGAAAAAGGGTGTGAGGAAGGCAATTACTTTAATGCTGTGTTTGGGGTAGGAAAGCTGGCCAACTCCACTTCAAATCCTTCTGATTTCTGTTTATGTCATTAGGGCCTGCTGTGGTCTAAACACATTCTTTGGAGAGCAGCCATGGATGCTCGGGTCATTTCGGCTTTAAGAGTGGACATAGCTGCATTCTTTAAAATATAAAAGGGATTAAAGTGGTGCAGGGGATGTGGGAAAGCCTCTTTGGTGTGCTGGGCTTTTCTGTCTACCCTGGTCACAGCTCTGGTGTGAAGGACATGGAGACAAGTCCAGAGGAGGTCACAAAGTTGATAAGGGAGACTGGAGCACCTATGGAGACAGGATGAGAGGGTTGGGATTTTTCAGCTTGGGGAAGAAAAGGTTTTTTGGAGTCTTCACAGCACCCTCCAGTGTCTGAAGGGGCAACAGGGAATCTCTGGGAATCCAGAGAGGGACAATTCATCAGGAGCTGGAGTGACAGGACAAGGGGAACAACTCCAAACTGGACCAGAGGAGATTTGGGTGAAGATATTGGGAAAAAATCCTTCCCTGGAAGGGTGGGCAGGGGCTGGGATGGAATTCCATCCCTGGATCCCTGGCAGTGCCCAAGGCCAGGTTGGACACTGGGGCTGGGAGCAGCCTGGGACAGTGGGAGGTGACCCTGCCATGGCAGGGAGCAGAAAAAGATGATCTTTAAGGTCCCTTCCATCATGAACCATTCCATGATTTCATGATTCTATGATCTCTCATTGCTGTTGTGATGCAGAAGAGACAAACTGGGTTGATTACAATCATCCTTGATAAGGTTTTTGTTTATTTAACTGTATTCTGTCACATGGTGGTGTTTCTTTACGAGCAGACCCAGCCTCATCCATGCATATTTAGAGCTGGAACTCTGAAAATTCACCTTCTGGGAAGTGTCTGGATTCTTAAGATTTGGCAGATTGCAAGACTTCAGTGTTCTGCCTGAAGATGTGCAGAAAAATACTGCATAATATAAAAATATAAAAAATATAAAAATAATGAATAATAATTACTGCTGTTCCTTTGGGCCTAACTGGTGTACGTAAAAAATATACAATTATGGCAAGATGAATACTCAGAGATGTCTTTTTTTCAGAAATGGGAATTTCATGGGCATCATGTGAGTTTTGTGTGTTCTGGTTTGAAATCAACCTTTTCTGTTGCCAGAAGGAAAATGTAACAAATCTCAGAGTTCCTGTGCTCCATCCCTGAATGGGATAAGAGCTGGATTCTTACCCAGGGTTTCCCATTCTGCACCCAGGCAGATCCTGTCCAATTTTGGGAATGTTTGGAAAGCCTCAAAGTGTGTGTCCTCCTTCTGTTTGGGCAGCTTCATTCCAGAGATACTAAAGATTAAGCTTTACATTTTCCAGCTTGAATGAAGCATCTGACATTGATCTGGTGACCCTGAGGCTCCCTAATGTGTAATTTCACCTGAGTCACAGCCTTGTGTTTGGTCCAAGCAGAAAGGAAAGAAACATTTGATGTGGACAAGAAAAAGGATGGATGTTTTTGGATTTTCATTCCAGTTCTGCAAAATAGGGGGAATTCTGACCCTGATATTTTTCACACATTGAGTGCCTGTAAGAGAAGTGAAATAAATAAACCTCCTCACACTGATAAAATTGTGGCTTTGCATAGGCAAGACTGTCATTTACACACACTTTCATGTGATATTTTTGTTGTTCTGTTGCCATTTAACTCCAGTTGTTACAACCACAGTCACAGAAAAACTCCAAAATACTGCCTGACATTTGCATATTTTGTTTTTAGGGATTTATGCTTTGTAAATACTGACCTTTAAATAAACCTTGTATTTTTTAAGGGTTAAATTCTGCTTTCAAAAGAGGCCAAATGTTTGTTTGACTTTAGTTAACTTGTGCCATCACTGTGAAGGGATTTTGTGGAACCAATTCTAAAAAAACCAAATTACAGCTGTTCCTTTGGGCCTTACTGGTGTAGGTAAAAAAAAAGACTGTATTTATCAGTAATGATGTCTATCCTGGGATAATGGGTGTGATTTTCATTGGATCAAGGCTGATGGAAGATTTGGTCTGTTCACATTTAGTTGGTCTGATTTTTCTGTTCTTCGGTGATGATTTTGAGATGTGGGATGAAGAGGTGGGCAGCAGTTGTGGGTGGCACACTCTGGTTTTTCATTGCAGAAGGTGAAGAATGGGAACAATTAATACCCCAGACAGCATAATTAAGAAGACATTCTTGATAAAAAAATACTCCAACGGCATCAAACATTTCAAGCCATTTCAGCTGGTCTGTGTCTGTACAACCTCATTTGTTCTGTGGATGTAACTGAGGTTGTTCCCTCTGAATCTGTCAATTTTGGGTTATCAAAAGTGGAAGCTGTTCCTGATACTACAATGAATGAAAACCTGGTTTCTTAGAAGGAATAAAAGAATTATTCCATAGCAGTTTCTGAAAACCACTCCTGAATTTAGCACTTCTCTGCCTAGGTTGTGGTGGCAAATCCACATTTCCAGGCACAGCATCCCTTATTGTTGCTGGAAGTATCACAAACCTGACCTCAGAACTTGTTTGCTGGGCAAAGAATATTGGATTTCAGACTGTGGCAGTGCGGAGATGCTGCTGGATGTACCTAATCTCTTGTGTTATGGTTAAATCTGATTTTTTTAAAGTGGTATTATTTGTTAAGGAGTATATTCTGTGTCTGATATAATCTATTATTTTTCCTGGAATTGTAGAGTCTCTAAATAGGATCCAAGACTTTGTTATGCTGGGAGTTTTGGATGCGCAATACAGTCTGTGCCTGGACAGGCAGGGGGACAAGGAGGGAAGCACAATGGAATAACAACAACAACTTCTTCATCTTCTTCATCTTCTTCTTCATCTTCTCCTCCTCCTCCTCCTCCTCCTCTTCCTCCTCCTCCTCCTTCTTCTTCTTCCTTATTACTATTCTTATCATCCTTTAAGATAAGGAGGATAAAGGCTGGCTTTTACCCCCACATCTTTTTGGGCCTTACCTGAGCCAGAAGCCTGGTCTGTGTGGATTCTTTGCATGGCTAAAGCACTTCTTTCACTGCTTATGAAGGGATATTTGGGCAGCTCAGCTGGGAGTGAGAGCATGGAAATCTGAGCCAAGGATACAAAGAGCTTGGCCCAAAGCCCCAGGTGAAGTAAACTGAGACCCAGTGCAGCCTGGATGAGGAGGTGATCCATGTGCACATGGAGTTCTGCTGGATCACAGCCTGCCACCAGGTGATAACATGCTCCTATCCCTTCCAGAAAATGTGGAACATCTGCTCCTGACCAATGAGCCAGCCCTCCTGCAGGTGTGAATGAGTGATGAGCCCATGGCAGAAGTCCTGCA